CATGGGTGATCTTCAAGGTCTTTCATATCATTTAGAGCAGGGCATAGACCCTCCCACTTGTGTCTAGGCTTAGAGAGTATTCCTCTATGTGGAGTGGGCTCCCAAAGTCCGTTCATGTACTAGGGATAAATACTGACTCACTACAAGAGGCCCCATAGATTAACCATACCTCCAAACTGACATCCTCCTTGTTGAGGGGGTCTGGAATAGTCCCATGCTGGTTTCCCAGCTATTAGTCTGGGGTCCATATGTTCCCCCTTGTTCAGGTTAGCTGTTTCTGTGGGTTTCTCCAGGCTGGTCTTGACCCCCTTTGCTCATCACTCCTCCCTCTCTGAATTCCAGAGTTCAGCGCAGTGTTTAGCTGTGGGTGTCTTCTCCTGCTTCTGTCAGCTACTGGATGAAGGCTCTAGGATGACATATAAAGTAGTCATCAATCCATCAATCTCATTATCAGAGAAGGGCATTTAAGGCAGCCTCTCAGCTATTGCTTAGATTGTTAGTTGGGATCAACCTTGTAGTTGTCTGGACATTTCCCTAGTGCCAGATTTCTCGTTAAACCTATAATGGTTCCCTCTATTGTGGTATGTTTTTTCTTGCTCTCCTCTATTCTTCCCCTGACTAAATCTTTCTGCCTCCTCATGTCCTCCTCTCCCCTCCTCTTCTCCCCTTCTCTTTCTCCTAACTCCCTGTCCCCTATAATATTTTTTATTTCTTGAAATTATATATTTTCCCCTTCACTTCCTCCAGCTCCTACCATGCATGCACCCCCACTCTCTCTAATTCAAGGCCTTATTTTATTTAATTGTTATTGCATCCCTACTCCCCACACTTCTAAATACACAAACACCAACTGCTCAGTCCATATAATGTTACTTGTATGTATATGATCTCAAGATTAACCACTGGTATTGGATAACCAGTTGAGGAACTCTTCCCTGGGGAAAACTGTTTCTCTCAGTCTTAGCATTCTCCATTTCCGGTAGTTCTTTGGAGTTAAGGTTCCATGAACTTTAACTTTGGGGTTAGCATGTGGTGTTGTTATTGTTTAGGCAGCCATGTTGATGAGGTTTCATGGGCGTAGTCTCGAAAACTTATGTTTCTCTGGCTTTTAACAATCTTTCCACACCCCACTTCAGCAATAATATGAGGCTCATGTACAGGAACTGTGTTGTAGATATATCTGCTGGGACTTGGCATTCACAAGAGCTCTTGTTTTTCTGCATTTTGATCAGCTGTGGTTTTCATACTGGTCTCTGTTGCAAAGGAAAGTTTCTTAATGAGAGGTGAGAACACTTGTTTGCGGACATAAAGATAAATATTTAGAGTGTTCAGAGCTTATACTGGTTCAGCAGAATAACTATTGTAGGTTTACTCCAAGATTAATGGTGCCACTAGCCCTGTGTAGTTGGTTAGGTTTCTAGAATCAGGCAGTATTTCCCTCTTGCTGAACTGGCCTTAGGTACAATTGGAGAGCTTTTGGTTACCACCAAGGTATACACATGCCTCTATTGTACCCCTAGGACTATCTGCCATGCTAGTTGTTGTAGTGGTTCATAGGCATCAACGATTCATTGCTTCCCTCCTTTCGAAGCTTGCATGGCTTCTACTAGTACTATGATAGTTATCCTCTTGCTTTCAGGCAAGATCCAGCTCAGGTTCTCTAAGTCCTATGTCCTAAGTTCATGATGTCTTCAGCAATAGGTTCTTACCTTACACCTCTGGGAAGTGACCAGGTGCAATAGAAATAGCCCATAATATTTGGGGGGTCTCTTGGACAACCTTTACCAACAACTAAAAAGGGGATTCTCATGCATGGTGTTGGTGTTTTTGATGCATAGTCTATGGATTTTGTGGAGAGCATTGTCAGGCCAGAAGGGAAAATTTCATTTAAACTATATGTGTATATGTGTTGCAAATGCATTTAAAGAAGAGGAATGGTCCCTTAACCCTTTTACCCAGATCCATTTTGCAGAAGTGGCATCCTGGGTGTCAATAACAGTCAGATTGGTAGCAAGGGTTAAACATTTACCTGCAGACCACTCCCTCCTTAGTCTCATCTCTGTCTTTTTAGTAATAAGTTCGTTTTTCTGGGTGTCATCTTCCTGATGAGAAATGGGAGCTTGGGAGCACAAGGGGAGAGTTGTCAGCCATAGCTTGGGTGGAATAAAAGTGAATGTCCTTGGAGTATCTTTCCCAATACTGAGATACTGTTCTTAGATCATTTTATGCTTAATTAATTTCCTTAATGCCATAGAAAGTCAGAGCTGAAAAGGATCTTAGAGAAGTGCCTGGTCTTTCACTCCCCTTGGGGAGGAGGAGGTAATGGCACCTGACACTTCTGTAAATCAGTAGCTTAATGGACATCTAATGGGTTTATATAAAACATTGGAAGTTTCTCCTAGCATTCTTTTGACAGGGACTAGCTATATAGTTCAGACTGGCCTTGAACTCATGATCCTCCTGCCTCGGCCTTTTGAGTGTTGAGATTATAGAATTGTAACACCATGCATAGCCTGATTGATTAGAGTCAGCTCAGTTGGTTTTTAAATGTCCAGTTCAGTGACTCAGCATTTTCTCCACATAACAGATTAGAGAAAGATAACACATTTGTGTCAGTGACAAGAGCTAGACTCCAGCAGAAATCTACGGCCGTCATTTTAAACAGAAAGTGGTAGACATCTCCCTGACACCCCCTCTCATACTGCCACCAGGGAGCATGCTAACATCTGAGTATGGTAATAAGGGCAGAGTGTGTGAAGTTTTCATCAACCCCTGGGAGATTCTTATATGTTCTGATTGAGACTCTTAGACCGTTATATTTTTTGCTGTGTATCGTTTTCTTTCTGTCATTGAACTGTCCTCTTCCATTTCTCCTTATTCCTTCATAGAATCTTCTAGACCTTGAGTAGTCATTGACTCTGTCACAGCAACTCATTCCCAATTTCTCTTGTGTCAGGCAGCTTGCTTGTGACATTCCAGCTTGCTCCCTAACTTCCCAGGGGTCTGCTGAGGTCACAGTTCAGGTCTTCCTTCAGTCCAGCTGGGACTTGCTGTGCTGTGATTCTCCTTGCTGGGAGGGCTGTAGCTGTTCTCCCAACTTCTTGTCTATGGTGGAGTCCAGTTCACTCAGCCATTGCCGATGCTGTCGGATCCTCACTCTTGTCACCTTCCTTTTGGTCAGTTCTCTGTTTCAGCTTCAAATGTGACAAGTAAAACTGAACCCAGGGTGGTCTTGTTGCTGACATGATTCTCTTTCATGCATCATTGAGGCCATGACGTTCTGACAAGTCAAGTTCCCTGTGGCCCTGTACTCCGTCCTGCAGGACTGACAGACATTTTAATTTAGTATGGGGTATCAAGATGGCTCAGCAGGTAAAGACACTCACTGCCAGATCTCACTACATGAACTCACCCAGGACACGTGGTAAAAGGAGAGAACCAACTTCTGTACCTGCACACATACACATAGAGAGAGAGATAATTAATTTATTGCATTTTCAAGGAAATTGAGTAATTTTCATTTGCTAATTTGGAATACTTGTTATCTTCAACAGCAAATATGTTGAATCTACTGTGGATAGGACAGAATATTAGATTCTGAATCACTGATGTTTCCAAGATAGAATTTATAATTTTTTTATGTTATAGGGATTAATATAGGCATTTCACCAGTGTTTAGTTTGCAAGCTTAATATAAGAAACACATGGCTGGCATTATGGATGAAAGCCCATGAACTTCCACATTTACACCACGGGCAGAAAGGCTACATGGGGTTAATCTCAGAGGAATGTCAGTACTTGCTTGAGACAGAAGGCAGGAGCAAAATGGTCCTTGAGCTGGCACACACCCCTGTACAGGCAAACTTTAAAATTCTTTCAGTATGTGTACTTGGCTTTATTGTCAGAGAAAAACAGATCTCATACATAAAATTCCAGTCTATGGCATTATCAATGGAAGTCAAACATAACGTTTTAGGAGTTCTGAACAAATCTTATTTGGAGTCTTAGTATGCATGTAAACAGCTTCCTTAATAACCTGAAGTCCCTCATGTTTACATAAAAATGGTCCCTTTGCTGTCTGTGGCTTACGAGTTAAGTCTTCTCTCTGAGAGTCAATTTGAGAAAAAGCCAGGGACACCTGTGTTTTCCTAGTCACAGTCAACAGAAGGGCCTAGTGGTTCCAAGAGCTCCTTCACCTGGTCCCCCAGTCAAGGAACCCTTGTTCCTTGATGGTGGTTAGGACACTGTGCACACACAGGTATTCCAAAAACAAATACACAGTACTTGCTGTTCACAGTTACCGAACATGTGCCTTAAGCCCTTTACATATATGATTTTCATTAATAGTAGAAATCCTCCAATGAATAGAGTCTGTGTCATTCATGGGCACTGGAGAAAGGGAGGTGTTCAGACATTGTCTACAGTCACACAGATTTTGAGTCAGAGTTGACTTTGACACCTGGCAGTGGTCCAGAACCTGTTCTCCACTGCCACCTGCCCTTCCACAGAGCATAGGACAGGAGAGTATGGTAAGACTCATGCAACTCCACATCTGGGAGCTTTCTAAATAGCATGCTTTGTTCTATGGGACTGGGGCAGTAGATCAAGGGGGACAGTGCTTGCAGTACAAGTTTGAGGATCTGAGTTCAGATCCATAGAATCTACACAAAAAGCAGGGGCACTGCCCCTGGAGCTCAGTGGTCACAACCTAGTCTAATCAGTGATCTCCAGGTTTGAGAGATACCCTTATTCAAAGAACAAGGTGGAAAGCTGTTGAGGAAGAGACATCAGATGTTAACCTCAACTCCACACAGGTACACATATCTACATTTACTTAAAGAATTGGTGCTGAGTAAACTGTACATGAAGTGTGTTTTGCCTGTGTGTGTGTGTGTGTAAACAATTTTGTTTCTATCTTCTACTAGAATAATGATATATTTGAGATCATTAGCAGTGAGTGTGGTAAACACTAATTATGATTTTGTTTCCTTTCTCCACAGCGTCATGGTTTTCTCCAAATGAAAAGATCCTCATTGTTATTTTCCCGATTTTGGCTATACTCCTCTTCTGGGGGAAGTTCGGTATTTTAAGTAAGTATTCGAATGCATTTTTTTCATTTATTCTTTAGTGACACAATGGTTATTTCTAGGACATTACCAGTGGGATAGTCTATCTCACTAGCCTGTATTGGGAAATGTGTTACAATGGTAATTAAGAATAACCAATTTGCATGTAGTTAAAGTATATACTGCCCCCCATATTTTGCTACAGTTCATATTTAAGTATAAGGTGTTTAGTTATGAGTGGTGTTTTGAGACCTCTGTGGGAGGAATGAGTAGAAATGTTAGTAATAACACCTTAAATCCTGTGACATGGTTATTTACAAATGTTGTTTTATTTGGTAAACAGATGGTCATAGAGACAGAACCTTTTGCTCTGGGACCCTGAGACACTCTGCCTCATTTCCCCAGTTTAAGCTTGTCTGTGAACAAAGGCCTGTTTGTGCCTGTTGTCCAGCTCAGCAGTTTGACAGCCACGTAACCAAGTCTCTGAAGGCCAGACCTGATGCTGTGTCTCATTTGCTTCAGTAGTATAGAATTGTCATCACAGGGTAATCTGTAATGTGCATTCTAGTTCAGGCTTATACTCAATAGTATCTACATACTGTTACACTAGGAACATGCCGATCTCAGTATTTCCATACCAATGTAGTAAGAGAATTTGACTAATTTTGAAGTTCTGAGGTGACAGACTAAACTGTCAGACTTGTAAAATGTAAGCTCTACTCCCCCTCTGAGCCCCTTGGCACAGCCACTGAAGACCAGGATAAGGAGGAAATGGTGTGTGCACTAAATTTGCTCCCCAGCTTTTAGAGAGGTGAACACTGGGGAGTCACTGCAGAGGACGCCGCTGGATAGTTCCTCAAGTTCTTCCCTAGGAAGGGTGATGCTCTGTGTGTCCCCAGTGAGACAGAAAAACAGAAGAAATGTGATGGGCGGTTTATTTGAAGAGCTTTGCCTAATGCACGGGGCTTTGGAAATGCTTAGTGACTTCAGAACTATCCCTGGGTTTTGTCTCTATGGGAAAAGAGGGGGATAACAGCTGACACTGTAGCCCTTACCTCCAAGAGAGTGAGGTGCTGTTGGAAGTTATCTCAGAATTCCAGAAAGCCTCTTATTTTAAGGAAGGAGCTGATATGGCCTCAGGCCCTGCCCCATAATCACTGTTAAGGAAAACTTGCAGCCACATTGGCAGAGCCAGGCTTTCAGGGCTGAGTCATGTGATCCAGGCAGGAAATAGTCTTTTAAGGATCAGACAGTGATTTCATAGCAGTGCTGTTGAATTTAAGTTGACAGAAGTTCCTGGTTATGACATTATCATCAGCAACACCATTTTCGGTGGAATGGATCAGAAATGAGTCTGTTTATAATCAGAATATAATATTCTGTTTATACAGAATAAGACTAATGGGTTTTTTTCTGACTTTGGAATACATTATATAAGAAGTTACCAAGAAAATAAGTCATCTGTTGGCTCTATATCTAGGAATAAGGGTTGTTTCGGGTTTTATTTGTTGTTTGTTTCTTGATTCTAGTAACCTTCCAGCTTCCCTTGCTGTCTTTTTCTCTTTTTTTGCTGTTTATCTCCTATAAAAGGAAACTGTAAATGTGCTCATACAGCTTATGTATTTGTACATCCTTGTGTCCCAGTTGTCTTCAGAGTGTTGCCATGGCTGCTTGTGCTCCCGTGTTCAGCTGTGTCATGTTTTATTGAACTTTCATCTTAATGGGTACTGTGAACTCTGATGAAAGTGTATGAGCTTTTGGGCATCAGTGGTATTTTACACCTGCAGATAAACTCTACCAACACGTGTTCCAGACCCACCATTTCAATTCCTGCTACCACTGATGAGAATATCCACTGTTCATCTCAGGGTCCTGACAATGTTATCCTTCTAAAAACCTTTATTAATTAGATGTGTGGAAAGAAAAAAAAAGATTGTCAGTGTTATATTAGTGATTTTGGACATTCTTCTTAATGTTTGTATTATACCAGTTGCATTTTAAAGAGTTTATGTATGAGCCGGGCGTTGGTGGCGCACGCCTTTAATCCCAGCACTCGGGAGGCAAAGGCAGGCGGATCTCTGTGAGTTCGAGGCCAGCCTGGTCTACAGAGCAAGTTCCAGGACAGCCTCCAAAGCCACAGAGAAACCTTGTCTCGAAAAACCAAAAAAAAAAAAAAAGTTTATGTATGAACCTAAAAAAATATTTAAGGAAAATATTCTATTTTGGTTTATCTTAAACAAGGGAGGAGCCTGAGGGAGAGTAATAGTGGGCATGTAGAAGACGAACCTCTGTATTTGACTCACCCAGACAGGCCTCACACTTAAAGTTGAGTTGTTATAATAGTAGCTGAATATTTTGCAGGGCTTTTGCTCTGAGGAGAGACCACTCACTGTGCCAAGTGCTCTCCACCATTTATTTCCTACAGGAACTCTGCCAGTGCCGTGACTCGTGCCGTGACTCTTGTTGTTTCTATTTTGAAGATAAGAGACAGGCAGTTTGTTCACAGTCACCCAGCAGTTTCCTGGTAATCCTGGATGTGGACAGTACTATTAACTCCTAGTTTGTCTGCCTGTCTTCAATTTGTCTGCAGGAAGAATGGATGTGTATCTAGTGTACCACTTTGAGCCTATGAAACTGTTAGTAGTAGAGTAGAATGTTGGGCTCACGTATGGATTATTTTCCACAAGTACCTACTAACAGGATGTGTGGTGACTGCTGGACATTGAGCTAAAGTTCAAGGTGTGGAAGTGAGTGTCCAAGCATGTTGGCTTTGAGGCCACCACATGTCTGTCAGTGCAGTCAAGATGGTGCAGCTGCCTATCTTGTACTTGGTTTTACTCACTCACTCAGTCACTTCCACACTTTATGCGAAAGACTCCCTGGTTCTGACCTGCTATCCCACCTGTGAGGCCATACATTAATGGTAACACAGACCCAAGAGTTTTCCTTTCTTATTTTCTGTTCTTTTTACCTTTTCACCCTGGTCTGTACTTAATCGCAGGACATTTCTCTCAGTGGTCTCTCTGGCTCTGCATGAGAACCTGTTGTGCTTCGAGAAGAAACCTAAGCCTTTAAAGACAGTTCATTTACAGAAAACTGTCTTGAACCACAGCTCAGGACAACTATGACCTTCTGTTGGCCATGGGTGTGACCTGAGAGTTCTAAGCTGGCATAAACCCTTTCTTTCCTTCACAAGTTGCTTTTGGTCACAGCAGTAGAAGCCCTAAGATAGATCCCTTATCTTATATCAACACAAGTCATTCCTGCTGTTTACAGGCTCCTGCCTGATTTTCGGGGTTCCCCATGTACACGGCGGTAGCATAATTTCTTTCCTACATTTAGCTGACTGATAGGTGCTTTCAAGTGTTACACATAGTATTGTAGTTCTTTGAGGCTTAAGGCCCAGCTTAAAGAGTTGGCTATTGTCCAAGGTTCTTTGTCACAGGCATGTCTGTTCTTTGTCTTCCTTTCCTTTACCCCTTGTCCTACACAGGTGATCCTTTGCTTTGCACTCAGCTGCATGGCCATGAACCTGACCGTGGAAGCTGAGCTCCGCAAAACAGTCTTGATAATAGACAGGAAAATTACTGTCATACAGTGGCCTTCAAAATATGTTGTCAAAACAAGCTGGGTTGGTGGTGCAGTCCTGTGATCCGGTACTACAGAGCAAGTTCCAGGCTACATAGCAAGAATTATGCAAAAATATGATATAAAAACTTTCCTAGTTAATAATACTGGGTGGAGAGTAAGACTATTTAAAATTCAGTATTTAAGGTGTCAGTATTAAGGCTTGAATGCAGATTTTGGTTTTGCTCTATAACTTTGGGAATAGAGCAAACATCACCTGGTAAAATGTCAGACTCCTTAGTTCACAGCTTGCACCATTTCATCTTCATTCTTTTGATGAAACATCTCCGACTTCTGAGGTGTATTTTTATTTGATATTTTGGTTGTTTCTTTACCAGAGTCACATCCTCGGGGACATTTTCATTGTCACATGGTCCTTACTTTCTCATTCCTGTCAGTGAGTTCACCATCCCTGAGCTGCTGGGCTGTCTCTTGAGCTACCTCCATTGTGATGGTGTCTCCATCCCCACAGTGGCTCTTCTGGTACTCTGCTATGCTCTGAGTTTCACAGCCAGCGCCCACTTGTCATTTCCTGGCTCTTTCGCTGCTCTTGCCCAGTTTCCTTTTTTGATAATGTATTATAGAGTGTCCTGTAGGTTTATCACTGGGAGATGAGGTGACATAACTACACACTTGACTGTCTGTGCACAAACTGAAGAGTAAGCAAGCAGTCAGTGACTGTCACCAACAGTCTGCAATAGTTGTGACGTGATGACACTTCTGCTATTTATACTATATTGTGCTTTTTGGATTAAAGACATAGCATGAGGCTCAGGGCTTCTGGGATTTATTTATGTATATTCTAGACATTCTTCATTTCCTTTTCTTTCTTGAACCTACTTAATATTGCCCAGTGGATATTTTGGTTATCACTTGGTGGTATTTGAGCAAGTGTTTCTGTGAAGATCATTGTTGGGAAACTCAAAGAAAACAGTTGTCCATCACAAGAGTCTTGAGGTCTCATGAAGTCTTTGGAGCCTAGCTTATGCAGGAACAAGGCCTTGGAAGCACATGTAAAAAAAAATGATGGGACAGGGATTTTTCTCAGTGAATAGGAAAAGATATTTCTGAAGAAATGAGGACAAACACTAAATTGAAGTGGAGAGTTCTACCCAAGAAAGAAAACAAAATATCATTCTGATAAATATTATTAGAAAGAAATCAGTCTGTGACCTGGTTGGTGGGCCGTAATCATAAATACTGAATTTAATTTTATTCAGTGATGTTGAACTTGATCCCTTCCCTAGAGTGCTCATAGGATGCCTAAGTCATATAATTATTCACTGACTTTACTAAGAGGAACTGGGCCAAGCTGTAGCACAGCATTGTACTCTTACAGGAATTTACTCACCAGTTCCTTTATGCTTTCAAAATCCAGACATCACTAATCTTGAATATACTCTGAAATTCTGGAACCTTCCATTGAACCAGAGTAATTTGACATCAGTAGATGTTTGCTAGACATTCCCCTGTGTTGTGTTCAAATATTTTCCATTAAAAAAGCTTTCCTTTAGGTCCTACTGACAGGGAGTATGATCTTTAGTAGTATTCATCTTGATAAACGTATTTCATCAGAGAAGTTGGCTAGGTTGTGGAATCTATTACGGTTATCTTACTCACTTATGGCAAGTAAACACTTTATACATGGCAGTTCATTTTTCTCTAGCACCATTTCCACAAGGCCTTCATCTATGTGTGTGTGTTTACAAAATGAAATTTTAAAGTAAAAAAAATCATATGTACTTTATCAAGTTATAGCATAAATAATATTGGTTTACAGCCCAATGGACATCAAAGGTTTCTAAATTACTTTTGCCAGAGTTATCATAAAAAACACTATAACAATTAAATTGGTGTTTTTTCCCTCCCTTTATCATTTGCTCTTAATAGATAAATTCTATCTCAGTAGTCTGCCTCCTGTCTCTTCACCGTAGTCATGCAGCTAGGGACTGTCTGAATGTTATGTCTTTTGAGCAAGCATTTGGGTTTTTCTAGGTAGTGTACAGTCTGTGTGGGCCTTTGTGGGTGTTCTGTAGCTCATTTTTAGAGTATCATAAAAGTTTAGCATGATAGAGTTTATTTTTAAGCCTAAATTGAATTGGTCATTATACTATGTTTTATCAGCCACAAGTCAGGTGCAATCTTAGTATGTGCTCCATGTCAGTGGCAGAGACCAGGAAAAATGTGTCTGTTCATAACATTAGCCCCTCATTCAGGTCCTCTGGAAGAGCATACAGATTCTTTGTTCACTGCAAGGTTTAGTGCACAAGAAGCTAAGACTAGACCTCTGCCTTCCATGGGTTGGTTGGGTTGAATTCACTCAATCTTGTTGAATAAAGCAATCTACTATTTGTTCCTTGATATGAACTAATAAAAGGGTATATTACAGAGTACACATATGAGCTTACCTAGTAAGAAATGTAGCCTGATAGAGTTAATTGTTTTACATTACATATTATGTAAACTAATACAATATATATTTGAATTAGAAGAATACCTAATGTTATGTTTAATACTGTCACATTGTGCCAGGCAAAATGGTGTACTCGTGGGGTATCAGCATTTGAGAAGCAGAGTCAGGAGTGATGCAAATTCAAGACCACCATGAGCTACATTTTGATACTATATCACAAAATAAACAAAATCACACTAGGGTTTCTCCTGGTACTTGGTTTTCCTGTACCTGGTGACAGTAAAGTTAGAAACTTTTCGTTAAAAATATAAATTCTGGGCAGGGTGTAGTAGCAGACACTTTAATCCCAGCCTGTCTGCAAAGTGAGTTCCAGGGCATCCAGGATTATATGGCAAGACTCTGTCTCCAAAAACAAAACAAAAAAGTGTGAAGTGCTAGTATTTCTTAAGTATTTTAAGTATTGGTTTCAGTAGTTTTAGCTGAGGGGAAATCTTAAAAAGCAGGCTCATTATTAAAATCACATGGATTATTTTGCTAAGTGACAAATTATACTTAGAAGTTTGATAAAAGCCTTCAGTTAAAAATCTATTAAATTAACCTGGATGTAGTGGTGTCCACCTTTAATCTTAGGGCTTGGGATGCAGAGAGAGGTGGATCTTAATGAATGTGAGGCCATCTTGGTCTATATAAAGAGTTCCAGGACATCCAGGGCTACATAGAGAGACTATATCTCGAAAGGAAAACAAAAAGAAAAGAAAAAGAATACCCTAAAATTGTTCTTATCCCAAGTGTTTTGGAAATTGCTCGCAACCAGAAGAAATCACCAGTAAAAATCCTTGAATTGTTGGGTTCTGTGGAATCTCATTGTTGCTGAGAACACTGATAACTGGGTCAACCAGGTACCTTCTTGCCCTGCTGTGGGGCCTGTCTGAATACAGCCATTGTGAGCAAAGAATATGAACCAGAAGAGATTTCCTCTGAGCGTTTGCTCAAGAAAGCACAGATGTTCTCGCATTGGCCGGGATTATTTAAGATCTAGTAATATATTTGCTACAATAACTGTTTAAGAAAAAATAGGTAGCCTGGAAATAGTAGATGAACCAATCACCAAGAACTAAGACTACTACCACTTAAATTACTTAAAAGACCTTTTGATGTAATATTTTGTGGTGTTATATTTTTGTTGCTGTTGTTGGCATTATTTTCCTTTCGGCAGCTCTGCCTGCTAAGCATGAAAGGGCTGGAGTTTATGTGTTGTTTAAACTCTTACGCTTACTTTTAATGGCTCCTTTTTTGGTGTTAAACCTAGAAGAGCCTCTAATGAATGCTTGACTGATTGTGTGGTACTTTTGAAATACCTTTTATGCTGCAACTTTGTGGAGTTTTCATGCTCTGTTTAGATAGCAATATATATGGGATTAAATGAAAAATGAAACATATGCCGAGAGAAGCATGTGTTTCTGCCTTTCTGCAATAGGTCTTTGTCTTTTGCAACCCAAACACTCAGTTTCTTTCTGGCTAGGATTTGAGATCTGAAAGTAGGGAAGCTGTGAAAACTTCTCCTTCTGTGGAGGCAGAGGTGGGACTGAGCAGTCATCATGTGAGCTCCACGGCTGGGTAAAGGTAACCAGCGACACCAGAGCTCAGAGATCTTGCCACAAGATGCACTCTGGCTAATAAGAGTGTCAGTTACTCAGCTTTGTGGACTAGTATTGCTTCGTGGGCTATCACATCTCCTCCTGAAGTGATTAGAACTGAGATTGTAATAAAAAAAAAAAGTGGGTAGGAAGCTGTCCTAGTTGGCTTTAACTGTCAGTTTGACACACAGCCTAGAGCTGAGAAGGGACAATTGAAGGATTGCCCAGGTCATATTGGCCTGTGGTGAATTGTCTTGATTGATAATTCATATAGGAGGACCCAGCCCACTGTTCCTTGGTTCTTGGCTGTCTGAGAAATCTGGCTAAGCATGAGCCAACAAGCAGTGTCCTTGGTGGTTTCTGCTTCAAGTTCCTGCTTGAGTCCCTGCCCTCCTGTCCCTCAATGATACTTGGTAACCAGTAAGCTTAAATAAACCTTTCCCTCTCCTAAGTCATTTTTGGAAAGAGTGTTTTATCACAACAAAGGGAAAGAAACTAGAACTGTAGAGCAATAAAAGTCCTTAGGTGTCTTCATGATAGATTTTTATTATGGTCACTAAGTACTTTTCCAATTTTGTTATGTTTAATATGTACATCATTTCAGTAGAAAATTAAATTAAAAGCAAATACAACATTTAAAATAATTCCCCACTGTATTAGTTACTGTTTTGTTGCTGTGATAAAATATCATGACCAAGCAATTTAAAGGAGAGATATTTATCTTGGCTTATGGTTCTGAAGGGAAAGTTCATAATGGCAGAAATACATGACAGCCATGAAGCAGAGAGATCATATCTTCAGCCTCAAACACAAACACAAAGCAGAGACAGAGAGAGAGAGAGAGAGAGAGAGAGAGAGAGAGAGAGAGAGAGAGAGAGAACGAGAACTGGAAATAGGGAGAGTCTATAATCTCCTAAAACCTGCTTTTAATGACCTGTTTCCCCCAACAAGTCTCCATGCTCTAAAAGTGTCATTACCTCCCTGAAACAGCACCACCAAGTGTTCAAATGTACGAGCCTAAGAGGGGCATTTCTCATCCAAACCAGCACACCCCTTGGGGTACCCACAAGCAGTACATCAGTGTGTAGGTGGCACCAGCAGCATGCCAGTCTCACATCTTGTAGCTCTCTTCTCTTGTCTGATCTCAGGTGACCTTTAGTGGTCTTCCTTCCTTCCTTCCTTCCTTCTCCTTTCCTTCCTTCTTTCCTTTTTTTTTTTTTTTTGGTGAAAAAATAATTTCAACATTAACCAAACAAAAAGCCCAAAAGATATTAAAAGAAAATGTTGTTATGCCTATTACTACCTGCGATCTCAGGGAGGGTAGCGGCACCTAGGATAAACCTGCATCATGACCAGTGATTTCTACCTCTTGAACCTTAGCAGTGTTTTTATTTCAATGTCTTAGTTGAGAATTTTAGGCATTTCCCCCCTAGGGATTTTTCAAGGATGTGATTTGTTTAATGTTTATTCTATTTCCATTTTCATATTCAACTGCTCAAACTTCTAAGTGTCTTACTAAGTTTTAAAAATGGATATTTGTTTTCTCAGTGCTGGTCTTTAAGTAGTTATATCTTATCAGCATTGTGTGTCCTCTGCTGTGTTACGAATTAGGGGTGATTTTACTCCTCTGGGGACATTGAAAAGGTCTGAAAACACTTTGGTAATAGAAAAGTGGGGGAACTCTTACTGCCATCTAGTATATGGGGTACAGGGATTCTGCTATACACTATGCACAGATCCACTGCTAGGAGAGAAAATGAAAAAGGTTTAATGATGCTTCAATTTAGAAAGCCTATTATATGTAGTTTTATTGTATCAAGTACAGGGAATAAAACGTCACCTTCACCCTCAGCATCCTCGTTTACATAATGCATGACTTATAAAAATACACAGGTTATGGGTAACTTGTTGATAAGGAATTATGCTTCTGAGGTTACTCACATATGGGGAGTTGTCAGTTTCTCTCTCACATTACGTGTTACAAAAATGGCGTCACATGTGACTAGGTTACATAATTCTTTGTTTTTCTTTTAAGCACTTAAATATAAATCCACTCGAACGAATAAGAGAATCATTCTGCTGCTGGTTGCCGGGCTAGTGCTCACTGTCATCGTCGTTGTTGGAGCCATTCTTCTCATCCCAGGTAAGATACTTGGGTACTAGGATCAGGACTGCAGGGCTGATGTGAGAGGCATCCCAAGAGGCTGTATATTGGTTTATAGGGCTGTTGTGACAGATTGTGACAAATGATGTGGTCTCAAGCAACATTCTCTGGAGGACCCGGAGTCTCTCAAGGGCTGTAGTCCCCTCTGGGGAAGAACCCTGGCCATGCCTCTTCTAGCTTCTACTGTTTACAGGCGGTCCTTAGAATTCCTCAGCTAGTAAAGCAGCCCTGTCACTGCCTGCTCCTGCCCTGTGTGAGGTCTCTCTCCCTTCTCCTCTCTCCACTGACAGGAAGTAGGTATTCAGGCACTCACTCAATTCAGGTAAGATCTTGCTTCCCCGTCTTTGGCTTAGTAGCATATGTTTTCCCAATCAATATTCAATTCCCATTGGGCCACATGAGGTGGCACCAATAGTTTCTAGGAACAGAAAGGTAGGGCTATAACCAGGGCCCCCCAGTAAATCCACTGTGGAGGCAGGCTTCACTGGCTAAGATGTGGAAATGGGCATGAACATGGGAGCCATGTCTTTCTAAAGTAGTCAGTGCCACTGAGAGACTGAAGTATGAATAGGCAATAGTGATAGGAGGCAAAGCTGGGACCCACCATGGCAGACCACAGAACCCCACTGCCGTCTCTTGGGGAGACTGCCTTATAAGCAGATCTTTAGGACACAGATTTGGCAGCTGTGTTTTCATCCAGGGCTGGGGGGGGGTGAAATCAGGAGACACTATGAGAGAGCACTTGGCTTGGGGACAGACTGAATGCTGAGAATGAATGGATGGTGAATGGCGAGGGCAAGTTTATCATCTGGAATTTCATAAGGCAGTTAAAGAGGTAAAGCCAAATAAAGAATTCAATATGTTGAGATACAAATCCTTTAGCTTGGCCTTAAATTTTGAAATAAGAATTGCTTATTTTGTGTGATTTGGGGGAAAACATTTTAAGCCTTTCCAGTGTATAATGTAGCATTGAGATTAAAACATTTAGTAGAATAAGTATGTAGCTTCACCGGGAAGTATGTAAGAAACTATTTTGAATATATTTATCTAAAACAGGAGAAAACCCTGTAAAGAGTGCTTCTGGACTTGGCCTCATTGTCATCTCTATAGGAACATTAATACTACTTCAGTACAATGTGTTTATGACCGGTGAGTATTTCTTCTTTTTGTTTTGTTTTGCTTTATTTTGTTTTTCAAGACATAGTTTGAGTATTTGTTCTTACAGTCTGATTTTTGCCTATTCACTTAAAAAAATAATACCTAGGTGAAATATTCTTGTATGGTTCTAACAGTTCGATAAAAGCTGGTTTATTCGATAGTCCATTATATTTTTAGTGACATTTCCCATACAGATTGATTTTCAGGTTGCTGGGTGTTCTCAACGATTATTTCATGAAAAGCAATTTTCTTGCATATTTGATGGAATTGGTATAATTTTAAAGTATGCTGTATAATTTTAATGGTTATTTGCATATTCTAATTTTAGTTTTTTGTAGCTATAAGTCAGTTTTCAAGGCAGTTTTTTCTTCTTTTACTTAACCTCTTGCAATAAAAAGATTGGTTCTATAAGATGGGGTTATAAGTCAGAAATTTTAGAAATATTATTTCTTATTATTGGTAACACTGAAAAGGATAGCTGTTCCAACTATAATCAATACCATTTCTGTGCATTTAGGTCCTATTTTTGTTATTGTTAAAGATTCTCATTTAGCACTGAGTCTTAGGTCCTTTGGCTGTATTTAAAGTTAGTTAGAAAGCCACAGATTTTGTCCACACACACAAGAGGTTATGTTTCTGTAGTATTCCCCCCCCCAGAACAGTTGTGTGCATGTGGATACACCATATATAACAAGCCACTCAGACCGTACAGTTTATAAATGTAGCAACAACGTTGTTTTGAGAATTTGCTAAAAAATACACAAAACTGCCAGTCCCTCTGAGGTGACTGACAATAAAAGCTTGCAGAATGTGTGGAGCTGACACTCCTGTGGAAAGGTTAGCTAGAAAGCATGTCATCTGATGAGAAGCTGCAGTCCATCTTTGAGAGTGTCAAATGCCAGTAGGAGTAATTGCCTCATCAGTGTTCTCGACACGTTCCTATTGTGTCCTTTTCCTCCCTCAGCTTTCGGGATGACCTCTTTCACCATTGCCATATTGATCACTCAAGTGCTGGGCTATGTCCTTGCTTTGGTGGGACTGTGTCTCTGCATCATGGGTGAGTCACACACTTTTATGTTTCTGATTTTTGTTTCAGTTATGGTAGAGCTCTTACTTCCTCTTCCCTTTTGTCGTATTTTTAAAAAAACACTGTATGGCCTTTTCTTTTAGAACAGTTGTGGGTTCGTAGACAAACCTAGTGGAAAGCACAGAGACTTACCACATGCCCTACCCTGTTTCTATTCCCCATCCACCCTCAGCTTCCCTCAGCATTTCACACCGGTACAGTGGGTGGACCAACATGGAGACATCCTTACCATCCCAAATTAGTAGCTTACATCATGGTGGGCTGTTGGTGTCCTACAGTACATTCTGTGGCTGTGACAAATGTGCTGTGACAGATATGCAGTGACGGATGTGCAGTGACATGTATTTCCATTGTGGTATCACATGGAATAATCCCCCTTGTTCTACTTGCTCATCTGTTCCTCTCCCTATCCCCAGACATCACTGTCCTTTTAACTTTCCACATAGTTTTGCATTTTCCGAAATGTCTTAGAGCTGTATTTATAGTGTGAGAATAGCACAAGTCTTGTCTTCATACAATACAGAGCTTATTCTCGTGCCTTTTCACATGGGCCTCCTTCCTTTTTAAATAAGTCTTAAGTTTCAACCATGTCTTTTTTAAAAAAATATAGCTTGATAGCTCATTAATGCTGAAAAAAATATTGTTGCCATAATGTGTTTAGTATTTTGCATTCACCTACTGAGGGGCCATCCTGGTTGCTTTCCTCTTTTTGTGACAGATGAATAAAGCTACTGTAAACATCAATGAGCATGTGTTTGTGTGGATATAAATTTTCAGCTCTAGTTGGCTAAATACCAAGGGCTGTAATTTTTGCATTGTGTGGTAAGGTACAGCTAATTTTTGTAGCAAACTGGCAAACTCTTGTTTGGTAACACTATCAGGGAGCGATGATTTTGCATCTCTGCATATTTTTCAGCATTTGGAATTGTGAGCCTTTTTTTTCACACCGCCCCCATGCACGCGCACAAATACACTCACATACACACACCAGTGTAAATAGTATTTTCCCCTTTGCGACAAGAATGTTGCCTATATACGTCTTGTGAGACAACCGCTCTAATAGTCCAACTATGGTGCCCATATTTGTAGGAGAACTTGCCAAATGACCAGGCTGTACTTGATTGATACCTTGGACTTTACACACTATTTTTCACCAATTTTGATATGATAACGGTACACTATGTTAAAATTTTCTTTTAGTAATTAAGCTATTTTTACTGAGTTAGTAATAGAGTTATTCTTATATTGTATACATATAGGTGATATTTTTACTGAGCATTAGAATAAGAAATGCTATCCTGAAAGCTGGTATATGCAGGGTGTAAATGTGTAAATCAGTGGTAGCACTATTTTACTAGTATATAAACCTACAGAGTTGGGAATGTAACACCACCAAGTACATGAAAAAAAAGCCTTTATGTTATTAGTTATTGTTGATTCCTGTAAATTAAAATTTGTTTACTTTGCATGCATTTCTAACAAAATTCCATTTGTTTTACAGCTTGTGAACCAGTGCATGGCCCCCTTTTGATTTCAGGTTTGGGTATCATAGCTCTAGCAGAATTACTTGGACTAGTTTATATGAAATTTGTCGGTAAGTTAATCTTACTTTTTAAGCCTCTGCAAAGAATTTTAGATATATAACTTAGAAAATGAGTTTTGTCAGGTCCTCCAGCTGAGGGTAGAAATCCACTGATATCTCCAAAAATGAGAAAATATGATTGGAGAGATGGCAGTTAACAAGGGAGGAGGCATAAGTATTCATGCAATTTGAGTTGCAAATTAAGAAAGTGGCTTTGTATACTACAAAGTATAGAACTTATTTTTATAAGCAAAAGAAGGCGCCTTTGAAGGTCCTATTTAAATTAGTATGAAGGGTTCATTCGTTGTTCCGGATCCTCTTGTGGAGCTCTTTGTCCCTCTGCTTACATGCACAGACACCCCTGCAGAGACACCCCTGCAAATTAAAACCTGTCACATCTGTAATTTAATGTGCAATAACTTCCAGTGTACTACTTGAAAAACACTTCCATTGGAAAGCCAGTATTTTAAAAGACATCTTTAAATTCAAGATTTTACTGCAATTAAAAAATCAGGTTTTGGCCAGGTGTTGGTGGCACATGCCATTAATCCCAGTACTCAGGAGGCAGAGGCAGGCGGATCTCTGTGAGTTTGAGGCCAGCCTTGTCTACAGAGTGAGCTCTGGGACAGGCTCCAAAGCCACAGAGAAACCCTGTCTCGAAAAACCAAAATAAATAAATAAATAGATAGATAGATAAATAAATAAATACATCAGTTTTTGGTAAGTGTGGACTTACACTCACAATTTGGTATTTAACCTGCCAATCTCAACTCTGGGATTTTGCATTCTTATTATGGACATGTATACACAGAGACAGGTGCTTTTTGTGGTACCTGAACTAGAATGTACCTTACCTAAGCCACACCTGTCCCCAGTCATATCTATGACAGTCTCCCTTAAAAGAGGTAGTTTGGTGAGTGTTTGTGTGTGTTTGTGTGTGTGTGTGTGTGTGTGTGTGTGTGTGTGTAATACAGGAAACTCTTTACTGTATAACAAGAAAATCAAAATTTAAGTCATTGAAACAAATCAGTATTTCCAATGTGCTTTCAGATGAATGTTTTCTAAAAATTAATACGGAAGTTGATTATAGTCAATAAGTTTTTCATACTATTTATATAAGTCTTTCAAGGAAATTTTGCCTTTATTTCCAAACTTCTTAATTTCTGATCATGAAATTTGACCCATTATATTATATATATATATATATATATACATACATATGTTCTTTTCTTTTGGTTAATGTTTTTATGTAAACAACTAAAATACTCCAAAGTCTACCTTCCTTTAGCTTTTGTGATTATAAGTATTGGTTGTAGCTTACTGAATTTTTCTGACACTATAGTACATAAACCCACAAAACATAGCTAAGACATCTGTAGCAGGCTGGCACTCAGGAGCTGACTCTGATGCCTTGAATACTGATGCATATTCTATTTTTGTTAGTCTTCCAATCAGCCTGTGTCTGGACTTGAAGGCTGACACTGCTGATTTTGTTGCTCCCATGAATGCTAAGAACAGTATGTGACCTGCGGTATTCATGTAACCCCAGTGCAGTGGGATAGGTGTCTCCTGCTGATGGTCAGCTCTCCGCTCTTATTTTTCCTGTGTCTGGAATGCAGCCTTTTGTTCCTGGGGTTCCATAGCTGGTCATGAGTGGTATTCAGGATAGTTGCCATGAGAATTACCATCACCCGGTGACTGACTTCTGCCTCTGCTCTCACACTTACTCCATGGCCTTGTGGGGCCTTAAAGCCATTGTAATTGCACATTATTGTGATAAAAGTGATATCGAGGTACCCAAAGATTTTTTTTATCATTATGATAGTGTACTAGTTGAATATACTGTGTGTAAGATAAGAATTAGTCCAGTTTTATTGACATTTTGAGACTATCCTAAATTAACTTTTCAAATCAACTTGTCTGACCCCAGAGTGGAGAGAGACACCTTCGGTCAGTTGAAAGGCAAGAAGAAAAGGTACAGGATGACTGCTTGTTAGATACTGTGGTAGACTAGGACAATGGATGTGTTTTGCTTATGTGTTCTGACTGCATATATCTGAACATAGGCAGATTAAGGTTGCAAATTTGAGCATTTTAATCAGGAAGTGAAAGTTGTGTTTCTAAAATAATTCCTGCTCATTGAAGACACCGTTGTAGAAGTGGGTGACTTTTGGTTTAAATGCAATAAAATCCTCACATACTTAAAAAAAAGTTCTCTTTCTGAAGGGAGTTAATATCCCTGTGAGAATGATAACTTTTATATTCTTCTTTATTTCTGAGTTTAAATTTGTAACCTTAATTGCAATTTTAAGGGATATGATTTTAAATTTTGCTTTCTACGGCAAAATATATTTTTTAATTATATTGTATTTTTTATTATGAGAAGGATTTTAATTTTATGTAGTCAGAAAATTATAATAACTTAATATGAGCACATAAGAAAGATTAATGGGAACTAACTACATTCCCTAAAGCAGAAGCTGTTTCTGTGCAGAGCACCTGAAGCCATTAGTCTACGTGGCACAAGAGTTATTTCCAAAGCTATTACCATTCAGTGCAGTATATGAGCAGGTACAACATTCTAGTTCAAATCAACTTGGTAGTAGTCAGAACCATGCCTGCTACCACATCTCAGATATTCTGAAATGATAGAGAAACACACATATATTGTGTGTGTATTTATTCAGATGTATTTACTTGTCCATTGTTTATAGTCTATGTATAAATCACTAGAAAAATTATTCTTGAGGTATTGAAAACCTGAAACTCTATTTATGGCATGTAGTCAGGTATTTGAGAGTGAGAGCAACATACCAAGAATCATTACAAGACTGAAAGTAAACATGTATGGAATGCTTAAAGCTTTTGATTTACAGCCAAGTGTTGGTGATGCATGCCTTTAATCCCAGCACTCGGGAGGCAGAGGCAAGCGGATCTCTGTGAGTTCGAGGCCAGACTGGTCTACAGAGTGAGTTCCAGGACAGCTTCCAAAACAATACAGAGAAACCCTGTCTCAAAAAAAAAAAAGCTTTTTGATTTACAAAAAAAAAAAAAAATGACTACCAGTGCCTAGGCTCATGATACATGATACCAACACATGATAGGGATGAATCATCCCCATTCTTTATCACATGACTTATATCCCCATTAGAGAGAATAAACTCAGATATAATTAACTCCCATACAGCTAATTGTAGAACATCCAAGGATGGTGACTTACTAGTGTCCTTCACAGTGTATAGTGCGTCTATAGTTCTGTTTCGGAATGAGCTAGGCAAATCAGACTTGAAAATGAAAACTTAGCAGCCATCATGTGCTAGTGGAGAAGATGGAAGCCCAACAGAACTCTGCTTGGTATTACTTACAATGGACACATTTATGAGCGTGAATATAACTTTACAGTGTTATACAGTATTCCTGAGGAGATGAAAAGGCTCCCCTTCCCAGATAGAAAAACACAGAGAGCCCCCCAAATCTAATCTGGTGAGCCAGTGAGTTTCACTGGTGTTTTTTTCAGGATCAGAAATGTCTTAAAGTCAAAAGCCCATCCCAGTATGGGTGACAAATAGCCCATGAAAACTGGAACCCTACACAGCCTTCAGGCAGCTGTGTGGGTTGGAGTGTCCTGTGCACTTAGCTCAGGTGGTCTAAGCTCCTCCCAGGCAGCTAGGATGACCTGTTTTTTCTGGTGGCTTGTCTGGTCTGACTCTCTTTGAGGCAGCTCATCTTGTCTTGAGAGTGACTCCCAACAGTCTTTGCTGCTCATATCAGCTTGCAGAGGGAGGAACCTAGTGAATGTGGTCAGTTTCATGGACTTCCAGAACGAGTTTGATTTTTTTCACTCCTTGAATTAAGGAGTTTCTCTGTGGGATGGTGGAAGTTTTAATTTTGGAGGGAACTGCTACACAACACCCTTCCTATTACCAGTCAGATATTTAAATAGCTCCTTTACTTTACAAAACTTAAATATAGGGGATGGTACTTGTAAGTTGTAGAGTCAGTGTCTTTGATGGTGCTTCAGGACATTCTGACTCAGCTTAGTTTATTGGGGTGGCTGTGGGATACCTCAATCCACTTCACTCTCTACCTCTTTGAAAAGAGGTTGAATACTTTTCTGTTGAATGCCTTTCTGTTTGAACGCAAGGAACAAACCCTCCCTGGGTGCCACCACAGTGAGGGTCATTCATTTATAGCCACCCATGGCTCTCACACAGACACAGACACAGGGCTCATGAGGACAGGTACATAGATGGTTTCACAGAGTAGGACAGCGTGTGGCTGAGGTGTTGGTAGGACACAGCACAGTGTACCATCCCTTCCCCTCAGCAAATAGCATTGGTTGATGTTCTTTTGTCCTTTATGGTCACTGGCATCCTGCCTTGCCATCTTCATTGTTAGCAGCTATTTTATCTTCACTGCTAAAAGTCCCTATTTTAGTTTTCAAAATTTGATTTCTATTTCACTTTAAGTAGTCAGGCATGTACATTACATAAAACTTAAAACTCCAGCAGTAATTTACAATATCATTGCTTGTGGTGAGTGAATTAAGTTAGAGCAGCTTGGGAAGAGTTTCTACTGAGATATTTATATATTTATCAGAGTCAAACATTGTGTGTGTGCTTATGTGTGTGTGCGTGCATGTATGTGTTAGTTTGTGTGTGTGCATGTGTGTGTGTGTCTGTGTGTGTCTGTGTATGTGTATGCGTGAATGTATGTGTATGTGTGTGAGTATACATGTGTGTGTGCTCATGTGTGTGCGTGCTATTGTGCATGTGTGTGCCTGTGTATGTGTGTGCATATGTGTCTGTGCATGTGTGTGCATGCATGTGTGTGTGCATGCAAGTATGTGTGTGTGTGTGTGTGTGTGTGTGTAGTTTCTCTCTTTTTTTTCTAGAGAGTGAGCTTTAACTCAAGAGCCCTTTTTATATCAACAAACAAATTTCTTCTTGAGAACCAATAGTTACTCAAATCTTGCAGTTGTCGGTGACTTCTTTTTAAGAAAAAGAAGTTTTAATTGATTTAATTCTCAAAGATGTTTATTTACTAGTAGGAAAGATTAATTGCTATTTAGTTAAATTCAGGTCAGAACATTTTAGCATTATCCATCTTAACAGTCCACACCAGCAGAAGCTGAGGATGCAGTCCATTCCTCCCTCTCTTTAAGCAATACTGTTTTATTTTATATGAGTACTGACTGTATTTACATCATATATGCCCTACCTCTCCTCCCTCCAATCCTTTGGTGCCCCTCCTCAAATTCTTTGCCTCATATCCTTTAACTATTATTGTTACACACAACCATGTGCACATGCATGCACACACACATATTCATGTAAATTTATAAACAGCCTTCTGGGTTCATTTAGTGTTTATGTCTGACTCCTTGGAATTCGATCATTTAGTAGGAGGCTTATCCCAAGAAAGGACTGATCCTCCTTCTCTCAGCAGTCATGAGTGACCTATAGCTCTTAATTTAGGGAAGAACCTATAAGATTTTTCCCCAACCATGTTGTCATGCCAACTGATAGCTGTCATTGTGCAGGTCCAGTTTAGGCAACCATATTGTTGAGATTTCATGGGTGCAACTTCCCTACTATAGATAAGACACTACAAGCAAGTGTCATTATACAAAATGGTGTAGCAAACATCCTAGTCATCTAGATTTTACAGTCTTTCTGCCTCCTCTTCTGTGATGTTTGCTAAGCTGCATACTAAGCTGTAGGCACAGGGATTATGTTGTAGATGAATCAGCAGAGGTTGGGCACCCAATGCTCTCTGCTAAGATGTAGGTGTAGGGATTATGTTGTAGGTATAAGGATTAAACTAACTTGCTCTCTGCTAAGATGTAGGCATAGGGATTATGCTGTAGATGAGGGCTGTAGATGAATCAGTTGAGGATGAGCACCGGTACTCAGTTGTTCTCTTCATGTTCATCAGCTGTTTCTTTCTGTAATCACCTCCATTTGCTTCAGAAAGAAGGCTCTTTGATGAGAGATAGGAGCCACATTTATCTTTGAGTATAAGGACATAGTTTTGCTTTAGGAGAAGTGGCAATAGTGGGTTCTCTTCTGGATCATCAGTCTCACCTAGCCATGTTGGCTAGGTTTAACCATGTCAAGCATGAATTCCCTCCTCTTGAGCAGGCCTTAAGTCCAATTAGACAGCTGCAGGTTACCCCCAGGATGTAAGTGCCACTACCACACCTGTGGGTAGATCTTGCTGTTATGTGGCTCATAGGTGCTACAGCTAGGCAGGACTATTGGTTGCTTTTCTCCTTTGGCAGCTTTAATAGCTCCTAACTGTACCCTGAGAGCTAATCTTTAAGAAACAGGCTTCCATGTTTGTCTAGTTTGATTCCTTCAAATCCTCTGTCCAAAGTGTGTGGTGTCTTCAGCAATAGCACCTTACTTTCAATTTTGAGGAGATAACCAAGGACCACAGCAACGGCCTGTATTGTTTTGGGAGTTCTTGAACTCCCCTGATGAACAACTTGAAAGGAGATTTATCTTGCTTGGTAGTAGAGTTCAGGGCACATAGTATGGCCTTGGGGGCAATATTATCACTCCAAGTGGTATTACTTCATTTAAACTATATGCATGCACATACACACACATAATTATAATAAACATAAGATAATGATACCCTATGGCTTTTCCAAAAACCTTTATGGTTATGGATCCCTATTTATTCTTTGAAATTTTCACATATGTATTCAGTGTATGTTGACCATATCCCTTGAACTATACCTGGGACTAATTAACCTATTTTCCTCCTGACTCCATGTCATCTTTTTTTAACCACTTAAAAATAATGATATTTTTATTATTATTACTATTATTGATAATCTCCTGAGTCAAGTTAGTGCTTACCAAATGTGCATGGACAATATTTTTGCCAGTAATAATAATGATGATAATGGTAGTCTCCTGAGTTCAGTTAGTGGAGCCTCGTCTCCAGAGAACACTGATTTCCCCCTCCCTCAGTGATCATCACCTGCCCATAACTCTTCATCTGGGGTGAAGGTCCTATGAGTCCCTCCCTAGCTGTGCTGCAATTCTGGCTGGCCTGAATTTGCGCAGTACTTGCTTACACTGCCTCTGGGGTGAGTCGGTGTGTCTGTCGGTGACCTCAGAAAGCAGCATTTCACAGCTCTCCTCTCCATCCTCCAGCTCTACAGTCCTTCCTGTTCACTCCTTCACTGTGACCCCTGAGCCTTGGGTGGAGAAAGCTTGATATGTGGCTGAGCATTCACAGTCACTGACTCTCGGCACTCTGATCAGTTATGAGTCCTTATTAACCCCTGACAAACAACTGCAGACAGACGCTTCTCTGACCAAGGTTGAGAGTGGCCCAAATCCAGCTTCCAAATGTGTTCTCAGTTAAACATCCTTTTTCCTATTTTGAATATATGCATGCATTACAGTGCTAGCTCACTCTCCTTCATATTTTATTATTGGATGTATCCTTTGACATTTTTATACACACACACTGCATTCTGATTGCTATCACCTGCCCCCATCAGCTCACTGTCCCCCCTGCAAGTCTCTTTGTCATATTCATCACCAAGTTTCTTTTTGTTTTTCTTTATCCTCTTCGAATCATAGTGGCAGTGTGATATTTGCTGGCCTGTCAGCTGTAGTTTTCCTGTTTGACAAAACCTGATCCCAGTCAGTTTTAGAAGCTTGCTAAGTCTGCATGGGCAGGGTGGGGGATCTTGGCTGTCCTGGGCCTGCCTTTGAGTGCTAGCCCGTAGGGTTTCGGTGGAACCTTACAAGCCCTAACCCTGTTTCTCAGCAATCCACATGACTTGGAAGCGATTCTGTTTCACTCTCATCGTAAGACTACATTGTGCATTCTTCCATTGCTCTCTGAATGTTTGTACTGTAAAAATTATTTTGAGAAGTTTGGATTTCTTGAACTGAGATAGGTGTCAGAGTAGGAAATTATAGTGAGTCATAAAAAGAATGTTGTTGGTCATGTTTCCCTGTCTTTGCGATACTGGCCATGTGGGAAAGACTGGCTTTGGTTGCTGTCTATGGTTTCCTTGCCTGGTGTTATATGGAAGATTTCTTTCTTACCAATCCAAAGCTGTTCTTTTCCCTCTTGTCATTTAGTTCATGCCCCCTATCCTTGAATCTTCATTAGCTAATTTTTTCAGAAGCAGCGAAGGGAGCAACTCAGAATGCTAAGGAGGAATACACAGAAGAGGCCCTAGTTGGCCTGATGCTAACGGTCTGGGATGAGTCTAAGCTCAGCAGGATCATCATGCTTTCTTTTTTAGCTTGTTAGCTGTCTAGAGCTTTGAAGACTGGAAAGGAGAGAAAGGAAGAGAAGGCCACTAGACTAGGAACGAGAATGGTGTGCAAAGGAAGATGGTCTCCAGGGGAAGTTACTCATCACCACAATCTGACAATCCCGGTTGAGAAATAGGCAGAGATGGGACCCTGGTAGGAAAGAGTAGTTGACAGGGTCTTCCACCATGATGTATAACAGGTAACTGACATGAGAAAGACACATGCACATGAGCAAGTCTGTTTATGTTACTGTAGGCATCTTACTCGCTTTCTCTCTCCTATCAATGTATGTAATCAAGAATCCTCGAACAGACCATGAAAGCTAGAACTCCTTTGCCAGAGTATTTAGCACCTTCTGGTTTTAGCTCTGAACATGTTATCTTAAAATTAAGGATTGTATTGCTTCATTTACTCTATTTATTGAATTTATATTGTTATTTATACCAGCTTCCAACCAGAGGACTATACAACCTCCTAGGGTAAGTTCAAGTTTATTAAATGAACTAAGAATGATTGTTTGATGGATTAAAATGAGGGATTGATAATTGGAGTATTGAACTGTTTTACTCTCTGCTTAATGTGACATCCAATTAAGACAATGCTGAAGCCTGAATGAGCCTTATTCTGTTGAAAGATTTACCTTGGGACATTTAAATACCTATGAGATAGGAGAAATGATCCCATAAGATTGTGCTTAGTTTATATATCCAGAATGGGAAGTGTCTGAGAAGGAATGTGGCTATCTCTTCCATTAGAAGGAAGCTGATTCCAGTATGTCTCTCTACATGTTGGGTTTGCTTGATGTGAATTTATAGAATGATAGTTTCAAGCATTACATTAAAGAAGAAAGTTTGTGATAAACTGACTTCATTTAAAAATATAGTTTCTAAAGTATATGTTGTTGAATGAAAAATCCGTTCCAAATAACAGCATCCTCATTTTATTAGCGCTTTTCTTTCCCAAAAGTATACTACAAGTCTCATTGTATCTGCCTGGCTTCATAAGTTCTTTGGGAAAATTCTAAGAAAAACAGCAAATTCAGGAGGAGATGTATGAGGCGGAGGGAAAAAACTCAAAACCACTGTATTGACTCACCACTGTGACAGGCCTGAGAGTTCTTACCTGGAATTAAGATCTGAGGGGACTGTATTGTAGTCAGCTTCCTTCCTGTAAATGACAACTGACAGATAATTTTGGCAGCCTCAAAGGACACACCCAAAGGGCATGCAGGGGCAGAGTATGCTAATATAGTTCAGCCTTTTATCCTGAAGAGACCGGTGTCATAGCTACGTTAGTCACAAGCAGCCAGCAATTTTCCTAGTGGCTCTTAGAGATAACCTGACCAATGGACCGTTAAATCCTAACAATTTCTTGCTGTTACTGAGTTCAATTTGCATGATGTGAAGATGATTTCGCTTCACTAACATCTCTTATTTAACTGTGTTTTCTATCTGTTACTGTAATTTGCATGTTTGTACATTAATACTTTCATGAGATTTCTTGAACTGAGAATGATGGCTGGAGTTGGAAATTTTGCACAGAAAAAAATACTAAGAGAATAATATGGTTATTATTAAACTATTAACTGGCCTAGGGAAGCCTTGTTTTTTTAGTTTTTGCTGTCTTATTTTGCTTTTAGACCATAGGAGTCTCTGCTTATAATACAGGTTCAATGATAGTGTAAGTTTTTAGCATAAAAGACAAAATAATGTATATTTTATGTAAATATATTTTAAATATTTTCCAGAAAGCTGTAGAGGAACCTCTTAACGGTATGTGATTATTATAAACTTAGTCTTGGTGACTTAGCAGATCATAATTTGAACTGATCCCCAGAGACATTAGAATGCCCACCTGTACCTTGGGGAAGAATCCAGTTTGGGAGTGTTGTTTGCTTGCTTTTTTGTTTGTGTGTTCTCTTGCCTTGATCTCTTGATTCTTTCTTGGTTATTCATCGGAAACTGGTAGTATTGCTTTTGTAATGTTCTCACTGTCCTACGCTGTAGTAGTTGCTTACTTTAACGAAGTGACATTTGGATAAGGGGACCATTGACCTCATTATACTGGACAAATTGAAGTGTCACACCCACAGTGGAGAAAAATCTCAGTGGCTCCCAATTTCTAATTTGTTAATTTTAAAAAAATACAGGTTGCCACCATGGAGTGATACCAAAATGTTTCACTTACTTTCTATGTAAATCTAGATCTGTATTCCCCAGTAAGTCTGTTTGCTTTTGTGGATGGTGTGGGTGTGAAGCCTGGAAATGCATCCCAATGAATGATAGCCTCCAATGAGTCTAGCTGTCTAGTTGAGGAATAGTTGGCTTTGTGTTGTTGCATATTTGTTTATTTTGAGATTTCTAACTGTGAAGTCATGCTAACTTGCCTTCTTACTAATTGCCTGCTTGTTACTAATCCTTAGCATTTAAAGAATCAAAAGGAATGATGAATGATGGTAAGTATAAAATTCACCTGTCGCTGCACACTGATTGATGCATGAACATTAAAAAGAAAGCAAAGAGCTTCTTGAAATTACAACTTTTTACAAAATAAAAGGGACACTGATAATCGTGAATGTCCACATTTCTTGAAGTTTAAAGCGGATCTAGTTTGATATTGTTTTCTTTCTTTTACCTACCATGGTCTCATTTTTCTGTAGGTGGGTTAGAACAAAAACTTGCTGGCTCTCACCTATAGGAACTCCTGGTTCCTCAGCTGAGCAGTTGCTGCCTTTGATAAATATGTTTCAAGTCATGCACCTGTTTATTTAACCTTTAAAATGCTTTTATGGGGTGTGCAGATACTCTGGCATAAGTTTGTCTTACCTTGACAGAGTTTCTTTTATACTCATGATATATGATTTTGTTACCTGTGAAACTGGGGGTGATATATTCACTTTTCCAAGCAGGAACTTAACTCCAACCTTGTGGGAAAGGATTAAAGAGAGAGAGACTTCCTTACTACCCCCAGCCTTTCCCTCTTTTCTGAACACCAACTCAGTAGCAACATGTGTTTCTGAATATGCCCAACATATGTACTTGATAATTCTAACCCAAGAAGTCTGTGATCCTTCAACCTAATGTATATACTTTTTTAACCTTAATATACTATGATTCTCTAGCTCCATTGGCATTTAGTAACTACATTTGTATTTTTATCCTGTTTTCAAAAATGTCTTCACACAAATAGTACTTGAAACCATTCCTTGCTTCATATTTTGCTGTTGTAAAGTCTGTAGCCTGCCGGTCACTTCCATAACAAAGAACTTCAGGTAACACAGGAGGCCATCTTCCCCAGAGCACAATTAGCTTCTACATAAGATTAAAAACACTTTGATCATGCATTGGGTGAGCTAAATTTAAAACAATGCGAGTGTTTAACGGGAAGTTCAGAATGGTCCCATAGTTACAAGCTTTTGTCAAAGTTCTTAAATGTGTGTTTTGCTGCACAAACCACTACTACCTAAAAATAGTGTTTTTAATGGGAATAAGTATAAAGAATGCCAGGATTCCTGGCATGGTTTTATCATGTTTGCCCTCTGTGCCTTGTTTTCAAATATTCAGTTCTTTCTTTTTCCCACCATGCTGTCATTTTTCTGTAAGTGGTTTTAAAAAAAACATAAACTTTTCTCCATTTGCAGAAAACCATTGTAAAAACCTTCAGTGCCTCTTTGTTAATCATCTTTAAAATGTGACTTTTTAAGTCACCGTCTCAGGAGATAGCATAGAGAACTATTGTTTTGATTTTTTTTTACTTGTTTATGTAGCACATGAAGTCTGTGATGACCTTGGGAACATCCTGAGTTTTGGCCACATTTAGCTAATCACAATTTGTTTTTTAAGTATCTGTTGAGGAGCTCTGTCTTCTAACATCCACTCAGAACTCAAGGTGTGCCTTGTCACACTGAATGAGGTTCAGGGTGCCATCTGCTTCACCTACACCAGATCACGTCTGTTTCACTTATATTAACTGAATGGTGTAAATCTAAAGTGAATGTGATAGATCAATAACTTCTGCTTTGAAAAGTCAACACCTCTTGCCTTTTGTTGAGTTAACCTAGCAAACCAAGATTATCAGTCTGTGTTGATTTTATTTCCATTTGTCATTGGCATTTTACTTAGCAAAGCAAAAAGCCTGGTGATTTGCCTGATTTCTCTCTGTGACCTTTACAGATGTGTTCCCATTATTTTTGATATAATATATCTGGACCAGTTTCAAGTTTAGAAACAGGTCATGTCTTAATACATAGGAAGTAGACATCAGGAGTGATGAAATGCCAACATTTCTATTTTCCAGAATAAGTGAGGGAAGTGATGGACTATACCTGGAGAGTCAGAAGTAAAGGAATACATTCGTGTTTAAGCGCCATGGCCTTGCTGACTCAGCTGGGAAGAAGAAAATAAACAAACAACAGTAACTGACTTTCATCTATGAAAGAACATGTCATTGACCCATAGATGATTATTACAGTTAAGTTTATATTCAAAGCAGCTGTGATTTACTTAATAAAAGAATTATGATTGTGTTGTGTAACCAATTGAAATCCATTTTTTCTATTGTTTCTACTCAACTAGGGGCAAAAGTATCAGAGGCAACTTCCAAGAATGATGCTTGCTAGATCCTTGAGTCTCTGGACACTGGGTTTAAATCAGTTCTGGATGAGAATTGCCTAGCATTAACCTGATGGCTATCCAGAGATCCCTATGAAAAACAATGGTATCCAGCAAGCCTTAGTAAACTCAGGTTCCCAGCAGCTTTGTCACTTATGCTGCTAGCTGAATAATGTGACTGCCACTGCCAGGTCATAGGAATAGAGACTGAAGTAGACAGATGAATCTGGCAGACAAATCCTGTATGCTCCCTATGTGTGCTATGATATTGATGGCACTAGTGTCTTCATTCTTGGGGGTTGTCTCCATTTACACCCCTCCCTTTGACATAAAGTGCACCCCGATTTTGAATATTTTTTATAGATGTGTTTTTCTTTCTTTTGCACCCTGTCCTGTCCTGCTACTTGCGTTTGAGGTACAAGATAGAGTACCTTTTCTCCTCTTCAAACATGGGCCTGTGACACGGTAGTGTCAGTTGCAGAAAGGAGCCAGACTTATTCTCCAAGCACTGTGCTCATTCATACTCTCCAGCAAAAAAAAAAAAAATGCTATGGTTGTAACATATGTATTCCAGACCTCTGGTTTGAAGGTAAAATCTAAGGTGTTTCTTCCCATGTTTTCTGATTGGAGGCATGACAAAGCAAGACTGAAATCTGATCTATGCGTCTCCTGCATGGCAACATGTGTCTCCATCAGGCCCTAGCAAGGCCAGCGGAGGAGGTTTTACGCCTGTTGTCTCTTTGTTGCATGATGAACACTCATCACCTTCCTCCTGTATCCTGCCTCCTACCTCCTCCTCTTTCCCTAAGTTTGAAAAGTAAAACAAAGCCACCCCATTCCCTACCTGATTAGCAGAAAATCAACGTCCTGACAGTTGTGATCGCATGGAGTACTTTTAGATTATTAGCACTTGTTTTTACCTCGTTTGTGGGCGTGTTTGTATGTGCACATGTATAAGGTAGGCACATGCATCTTCTGTACCCACAAAAGTGAGGCATCAACAGAAGAGCAAATGCTGACTTTGTGCTTTTAGTAAATACATTTACAAACAAAGGTCCTTATTGGGTGGAATTATATTTGATGCAAATATTTGATCAGTTTAAAACTAGGTAATGTGCCAAGCTTTTTTGACTGCTCACCAGTGCCCTCTTTAAAAAAAAAAATAATACCAGTAATGTTTCCTGTTTGTGTAACAAGGCATTTGTATTTGTGTTTGCATTACTAATGATTATTTCTTCTTAGTCCGCTGAATGTTTCCATGTGCCTCTTGTATGCCAAATTTATTGTCATCTTTCATGTGGGGACCAAGTGGTTTGTTCATGGCAAACCTAAACTTATGACCTGCTGAGGCCTCTCAGAAAACTGACCACAGTAGCAAGATAGTGCTTCTAAAGAAAAGTATGTTTCCTCCCTGATTTTGTAGTTGTTCAAAATATTTGTGTATAAAGAGGGAGTTGAATGCCTTTATACAAACCCGATGGCTCCTGATGCTTTCCTTTCTTCTGAAAATATTTAGACTTTGCTCATATTGTTGGTTACTTTGAAATCAGTTTTGATGAAGAGAGCAAAAAGCAGACGGACTTGGAACAGATCCAAAATTTCCTATTCTCTGTTAAGAGAGTCAGGTGTGAAAATCTTTATAGTCAATTTTTTTTATGAACTAAAGTTGTACCTTTTAATATGTAGTCAATGCCCCTCTGCTCGGGGTTCAGTCTTGGGTCTTAACCAGCTGTCATGTTCGCTTTGCTGCCTGCCATTTGAGGCATTGAGTGCCCTAGACCGTGCCGCTGGCGATAGCTAAGGAAACACAGGATGAATTCGACTCTTGTCCTTACTTATCAACTTCTCTGTATAAAGGACCGCAGCAGCAAAGAGTCCTCCTGCCTGGGCATTATTGGGCCAGTTCACCCTCTTTAAATCAAACCTGCAATGACTCCCAGTTCTCATCCTAGCAGATTTAAATTGCTAACAATATTGTGGGCTGCATGCATCTGTTTTGCCCCACAATGTGTTTTTTCTCTCTGATCCCAATTTCTGCTGTCATTTTCCTCTATTCGGTTTTTATTTATTATCTGCTGTCCATTTATACAATAGTATGGAGTGATGCCGTCTGTCATTTTCAGCAACGGTTTTTCCAGCCTTTATGGCTGAGTCCCATTTTTCTTCTCTTTCAAATCGCTGTGCTTCAGCCCTTACCCGTCACTGACTGTACTTTGCAGCCTGTCCCCATCTGTCTGGGGGCCTCTTTCATCTCTTTTACCCTTCCTGGTGCTTCATGTATCTCTGCTTAGCTCTGTTGGGTTTGGTTTTTTTTTTTTTTCTTCTCACTGGACTTTAAAAATTCCTTCCACAACAAAAGTGTGGCTTCCCTTTCTGCTTTTCCTTCTGCAGTGTTCTGCATACATTAGTAGACACTCAGTACAGAAGTTCGATGGTAAGAGTTGCCTGCACTTAGATTTCTCTTTTTAATAGGGTGAGCTAAAGTTTTTCTTTTTTCTCTTTCTCTCTTCCTTTTTTTGACAAGTTTCACATGTTTTGAAAATTGTAAGAGGTGAAGGAGGATTCACCTGAAAATTCCAAGTCTGATCTGTTGAAATCATTGAGAATACCAGACTAAAAGTCATGGGGCTGTATCATACATAATAGGCTGTCTTTCAGGATGTTGTAGTCAATATAGTGGCCAAATTGTGTTTGAGTTAATAAAACTGGAAAAGTGATACATTCACTCTGCTATTATTTAAGAGTTCAGCTGTGTATCATTGTCTAGGTTTATCTTGTCTTTCAGTGGGTATTCAAAAATGGCCACCAGAGGACGTGTGTAAATACAGGCGCCTGTTTGCCTGGTGTTGGGAACTAGAGAAAAAAAAAAGTTTGGCAATTCGTTGTCCTTTTTCTGTATTTAACTGAGGGTTTATTTAGAGATGAAAGTTACTCGCCACACTGACTGGTGGTCTTGTTAAGTCATCTTCTGTGGCCAAAAGGGATGACCCAAGTTAACTTTAAAGAGATGAGCGGTACCCAGGAAATTGTCCTGCCTATGACTTTGATCGCCCTCCATTATGACCGTTTAATAGTGAGTTTTCCATGTGTCTAGTATTTGGAGGAAAAGAAAGGGCGTTTTTAGTAAGCCTCTGTATAAGATGGTGTCAGTGGAGTCTTCAGGGTGTTGTCATGATGGATGACAGAGGAGAACATTTTTTATTTTATTAAACAGAGCATTAGTTACAGAAAGCCATTGTTGAGAATTAGTTCCCACATCATATAAATATCCATTAACAATTCTAAATTGTAAGAGGACTCCGGTGTTGCTATGTGTAAGGTACTCTCCTGGGGGCCTTTCTACATAGCAATTAAAGGTGTGATATTTGTCAGTAGCCATTTTTTGCAGTAATTTAAAGACCAAAGTTGTTTTACAGCCGTGCTACCCTTAAAGGTTTTTTTTTTTATGTATTAAATCAATTTATCACTGTTTGAAGCTTTGAATACCTGCAATCTTTGCCAAGATACTTTTTTATTTAAAAAAATAACTGTGTAAATATTACCCTGTAATATTATATATACTTAATAAAACATTTTAAGCTATTTTGTTGGGCTATTTATATTGCTGCGATAGCAGACCACAAACACATTTCTGAAATTTTTTGTTTTAGTACATTTTTCTAGTTCTAAAAATTCTATGTAATAGAAAGGATGATTTTTAAAAAGAATTTTTTACTTAATAGTTTAAATATAATCAATACAGGAATCTTCGGAGTTTTAATTAGAAATTTGAAATAGATGTAATATGTGTCATGGGTGTAAACATCATGGGAAAACAAGGTCCTGGGTTCTAATCCTGACAGTACTACTTCCTAGCTAAAGACCCCAGGAGAGCACTTGACCTTTACCTCTGAAGGGTAAGACTAGCTCCTGCCCAAACTGAAATGTATGGTTTTCCATTTTAAGTTTTCCTCCGTTAAGGTATTTTGATTGCAATTAAAGAAAACCCAAATCTAAGTGGGAAGTGCAGGTCTTTTGGCCAGTGTAACCTGAAAATTCAGCTATTGCAGCTGGAGTATGGACCTCTGAACTAGTCAAGGGGTTGGGATCCTCTCAATGGACTCTTAATGGACTCTGCCTTCCCAGTTCCATGTGAGACTAAAGGTCCCAACAGCCAGTTGAAAAAGAACATACATATCAGCTGCGTGTCTTTTGCTATGATGAAATAGCTTAACTAACTCAATTGAAGGATGAGAGGGTTGATTTTGACTCACGGTTCAAGGTTTACAGTCCACCAATGTGGGGAAGTCGTGGCATCAAGATTTTGAGGAAGCTGGCATATTGCATCTGTAGTCAGGGAGCAGAGGTTGGGATGACTGCTATTGCACAGCTTCCTTTCTCCTTATTCTTCACCCAGCAGTTAGGACGGGTCTTTCCATCCCCACCTAATCTAGATAACCCCTCACAGAACGGGCACACCCAGAGTCTTATCTACTGGGTGCTGTGAGATCCTGCAAACCGGTGGTGTTAACTGTCACAGTGTACCTGTCTCTAAGCCTCTGAGGCCAAGCATCTCTTACTCTGTTTTGGCCAGAAACATGTCCACACCCAGCCTGGAACAGAGATTGTGGGCTGTCTCCATGGTGCATTAGCCCAGCTGGGAGTTGGAGAACAGAGGATAAATTCTCTTGAAGCAGAACTCGGTAGTTACCAGACAATTGAAGTCATTAGATTTGAGGCACAGGTTCCCAGTCAGTGCCACATCCCTTCAGGTCCTTCTTACGAGTCTACATTACATGTGTGATTGTCGACCATTTAAATGGAAAATAATATTTGGCAGCAAAGTACCATCTTGTTCCCTACATCATAGGCAATTTAATTTCTATGCACTTAGGAGGACTTTCTCATTCTCAGCAGGAGTAACTAATGGAATTCAGAAAGCATTTAATGGCCTGCCTCCTGCACTGAAGGCTGCTCTGTGAAGCCCAGAACTGTACTCAACCTGATTAGAACTCCCACTGACGTGTAGGCTTCAAGTGCAACTGGGCTTCACTTTTGCCTGGCACCTTTCCACCCAAGGCCTCAGGTTTGACAACTTTACAAAACAGTGGATTAGGGTAATATCTGAGGTGGCCCACTTGGCGGTATTTGCCTTGTGGAAACTCACATGGCAGGCTCTTTGTAAGAATCAGGTTCAGGTACTCACCTCCTACATCAGAGGGAAATGAAGTGTTGAACCCCGAGACACAGAAAACTGGGCTGCTTATTTAATGTTGAAGACAGCACTTGAGGCCACGTAGAACTCTAGTTGTTAATCAGTTGTGTACAGTTGATGAGAGGGCAACCGCCCTTCATCTCCATAGCAGCCAGGTATAGGGAACCAGATATCTTTACCCAATTTGGGTGATAGTAAACATTTCTCAAATTAATATTCTGAAAATCTGAAGGCTGAAGTGTGGTGTCAGTCTTGGTGACAACATGCTAGTTTTGCAGGTTTTGTGATACATGCACTTGTTCTCTGTGGATAGGTGGTGAACACTAGCATTATAATAGACTTTCTGAGAGCCTATACTTAAAACAAGCTTATTGCGCCATAGACCCATCATCCAAACACCCCCAACACACATTGTTCTTTGATATAGACTCTCATCATCAAACTTGATGTGTAGACGAGGCTGACCTCAACCCTCATGATCTTCCTGCTTCAGCCTCTCGTGTGCTAGCATTGAGTACCCACACCCAGCTAATTACTATAGATTGCTTTCTTGTTGTCATAGGTACCTGAGAAATCCCTTCAGGTTGACAGGACAACCTAGATGCTATTAGGCTTTCTCAGTAAAGGCTAAGAGAACTCAGCCTTTGCAAAGAGCTTTGACCTCTAATGCCTCTTTGCAGGAATAGCTGCTGATCACTTAGGTGAGAGTCCTGTGTGGAACCCCACGTACTAGACAACCCTTTCTAGGAAGGCTTCTCATGCTCTCCTGGGAGTTCCACCCCCAGCTCAACGGGTTGTTTTCAGAAGGTGATGTTCGTAAGTCTTCCATTTGCAAGTTAGCAGAGGCGTGTGTCTGATTACCTCAAGAAACCTTTTTTCACTCCAGTGTTATATCCTGCTCATCTCACAGTTGGATGGGCTGGATACGTGTGTGATTATCATGGATTCAGTAAAGCCAATGTCTTTCATCACATGCCTATTGATGGAAGTGGTTCCAGTAGCAACTATTGCTTAATGTCACAGAACAGATAGATTATCCTGGATCAGGCTGCAGATACCAATCTAGTATACTTCTCGCCTGTGATGTACAAGATCCAACGTTTAATTTAATAGCCTCCTGGATCCTAAGTAAGAAGATATTTGAAGCATCCAAAAATAACAGTTTTGCATATCTTTACATTTCTGCTCAAAGAAAGCTGTCCAACAAACTGTAGAAGTTTTATACTTTAAGCCCATTGACTATGGGCATTTAATTGCCCAAAAGAATTGAGCTTTAAAATTGTACAATTTTTTCCATGTACACGTTTTTTAAATCTAGATGTAGTAAAAATTGAATATTCTTGTATTTGTGTGCCTTGGAAAAATTTTAAGTATGTCTTTGCATTCTTCAAGAGAAACATCTGACTAAAGGATTTGACTGGAATAGTTGACCACACTCCATCCTTGAGCTTCTGGATACAGTTCTTTTGCTTCATTGTGTGGATAGACTAGTGTCTTCGTTAGGGTTACTATTGCTGTGATGAAAACACAGTGACCAAAGCAACTTGGAAAGGAAAGCATTTATTCAGCTCAGCATCCATATCACAGTTCATCATCAAAGGAAGTCCAGATGGGAACCCAGAGGCAGCAGCTCTCACAGAGGCCATGGAGGAGTGCTGCTTACTGTGTTGCTCCCCATGACTTGCTCAGCCTGCTTTCTTTTTTTCTTTTTCTTTTCTTTTTTTTCTTTGTGTGTGTGTGTGTGTGTGTGTGTGTGTGTGTGTGTGTGTGTGTGTGTGTGTGTGTTTAAAGACCGAGTTTCTCTGTGTAACAGCCCTCACTGTCCTGGAACTAGCTTTGTAGACCAGGCTGGCCTTGAACTCCCAGAGATCCACCTGCTTCTGCTTCCCAAGTGCTGGGCCCAAAGGCATGTGCCACCATTGCCCAGCAAGATTCCAGGACCACCAGCCCAGGGATGACCTCATACAAAATGGGTTGGCCCCTCCCCCATCGATCACTAATTAAGAAAATGTTTTACAGCCTGTCAGTGGTGATACACACCTTTAATCCCAGCACCCAGGAGGCAGAGACAGTCAAATCTCAGTGAGTTCGAGGTCAGGCTGGTCTACAAAGCAAGGTCCAGGACAGCCAGGACTGTTACACAGAGAAACCCTATCTAGAAAAACAAAAACAAAGGCTAAAGGAAGGGAGGGAGGGAGAGAAGGAGGAAGGAAGGAAGGAAGGAAGGAAGGAAGGAAGGAAGGAAGGAAGGAAGGAAGGAAGGAAGGAAGGAAAGGCCTTATGGTTGCATCTTACGAATGCATTTTCTCAATTGAAGTTTCCTGCTTTCCAGTGACTCTAGCTTGTGTCAAACTGACATAAAACTAGCCAGCACAACTGGATTCAGTAGCAAGACCAGAAAAAGCAACCGGGGTTCTCATAAGCACCCAGTCCTGCTAAGAAGGACTTAGAACAGAGTCTTCCTCAGCTGGTGAGACTCCAAGGAGGCTACTCACCACTCATCTGCCTTCATGTGTCTTAATG